ATAAAGTATTCTTTTATTAAGTACTTTTTGAGTTATTTTATATTTTAATCTGACACACATAAAATATCTCGTAAATATTTTACGAGATATTTTATTTTTTATATCAAAAAGAGTCAGATTAAAACATAAAATAACTCAAAAAGTACTTAATAAAAAAATATTTTATTATAGTGTTTTGGAAAGCTCTCGGGATAAGCTATAAGAATATGTAATAAAAAATAGGGAATTCCATTTAAGAAATTAAAGGTGTCCTTGACTTGACCTTAACGATGCCATCCAAGGTCAAACCAATGACACCATCTTATGTTCCCCTCAAAACCATACAATTTTTGTTCAAAACGTTTTTCTCTAAAATGCTTAGTTTTTGAAAGAAAAGGGGTGTACGGGTGTTCTAGGACACCCTGTATAAATAATTTTAATAATAATTTTCACGATCATTATAAAAGCTCTGTCTTTAAAACAAATTTCAAAATTTAAACAAAATTTAAACAATAATTATGAATAGAGTAGTAAAATGAACCAATACAAAATGTTATCGCAAATTCGAATATTTAGCTGCATAATATTTTAATAATTATTTTATAACAAAAAAATATTATATGTATGAAAAGAAATTTATATATATACATACCATTATGCAATTCACACAATGATAAGCACACTTCTTTTTTTATAGCAAGATTTAATATATATGGAGCAATTTCGAACCACTTTTTTGGAAAAATATATGCATATATTCCTGTTTCTATCTCAAAATCAATTTGTAACTGCAATAATTGACAATATATAATTAAATTAGATAAGAACTTATAAAATATTTATGAATAAATTACAGACATTGCAATTTTATGTGTATAATTACCAGTACGGCACCAATGGAAGTTTTTAAGGTGGGATATTCTTCATAATAATTTGTAATTGAAGTTCCTCTATTCTTTGCTTTAAATGTTTCTTTCCAAAGATTTTCGAGATTTGGATCATCCGGTTGAATTGTACGCAATCTGAGTAATGCTTCTTAACAATCAGAAATATTTTCAATGTTCTTGTTTTCATCTACTTTTTCTTGTTGTTTAATGTATTTTTTAAGATTATTGTACTTGTCCCATAGTTTGCCGTTAGCAAGACGTTTGAATTTTGTATTAGATGGAACATAATACGTCGATGCTTTTTCATATTTAAAAATGCTAACTATTGCTGCAGACCACTCTTGAAATTGTGAAGTTATTCTACAATATTAGAATAAAGAGGAATAAATAAATAAAAGAAAACACTATATAAAATTTCATAAGATATACTATATACCTTTTAGATTTGCAAAGAAGTTTGTCAATAATCATATGACAGAGTTTATTACGGTCTGATGAAGTCAATCGTGTTTGGTCTAAGATTTTTTGACCACAGCTTGATTCAGAGAGTAATTCTTTTAGAATCTAAAGGAGAAACATATAAAATATAAATGATAAAAATTCTTAAAATTGCTTAACTCTCATGCTTGATGAGATATGTATGCATACATAATTGAAAAACTATAACTTATAAATATGAAGAAATCAATCTAGACACGCAATATTTTGATTTATTTTGTTACGATTTTCAATATGTTTTATTAAGACATGAGAAAAGAATATTACGCAGTTAATATTTTCATGTCTTATGATTCAGTCCTTAAATTTACAAATAATAAAAGAAGTATCAATTTTTATATAAATCTGTCTAGTCAAAAGCATATAAAGATGAAAAAAATGTTGCAAAATTTAAACAAAATATATATACCTTTCCATAATCTTGAGATGAGCTTCTCGAAGAACTACTTGCTATACTAATCGTATCTTCAGAATCACTTCTATATAATTTATTTGGGATTTCCTAAATCACACACACAAATAATATTCATGAATAAATATTTCAATAAATTAAAAAAAGAATTATGAAATACAAAATTTATAATATGTTAAAAAAAGAGAATGCTCAATTCAATTTAACTTAATAAAATATAGAAAAATTAATTTAGTATTTCAAAAATTTGTTTTTAGGGTTTCAAAGCAAATATTGTTTATTAATTATAAAATTAAAAATTGTTTATTGATTATAAAATGATAAAAATAATACAAATACATTTTTACTTAATTCTGTAATTTATAAAAAATTTCGATATAATATTAAGAATTTCAAAAAAATTCTAATTGATTCAATAAAATTGAAAAAACAAATGTAAATATAAAAAAAATTTTTATTAATTCTAATACAATATAGAAATGTATTATATAATTTTGCAATATTAACAAAACTAAATAATCTTTAATAATAATATTGTAAATAAAAAAAATATTGATACTTGTAATTGTTTTAAAATAAGATAAAAAACGCTTTCACATAATCAATAAAATTAAAATAATCAAAAGAATGAAATTTTAGTATAAAGAAAAGAATTTCTTACTAATTCTAACAAAAATAAAATTATATGATGCAGAAATTATCTTACCAAAACTGAACTTTCATTTTCACTTTGAAGCAATCTTTTTCGATTTTGAAAGAAACAAAAACGCTTTCCGATTATAGGAATTAACTCTTTAATCATAGATTCAGGCATATGTAGGAATGCCTCCTCGTCAATTTGTTTATCTAAACAAGTAAAAATAGGATATAATTATTATTATGTCTTATATTAATAAAAATAAAATAATAACCTTTAAATTTCTCAATATATTCAGAAAGACCCCATGCTTCCAATTTTTGTTCAATAAAATTTGACATTGCACTTTTAAAGATATTAAACTAATATAACCAATCTGTAAAAATATATAATATGTTAAAGAAAACAATTAAAAAATATAAACTATTATATTTTCAAATAAAATACTCTATAAAGTTTAAATAAATAAACAAATCCTAATAGAATAATGTGAAATTGAAAACGTAAAATTGAACGCAATATTTATCTAGATAGCAGGCATGTCCAAAAAACATCAATAGAAGACTTATCGTGTATAGTTAATTTAGCCACTTTCGCGATTTTAAACAAGTTATATAAGGATCTCGCCTTTTGCTTCAAGAGGGAAGTCCCTTAAGGGTTGCAGCGCAAAAATCAAAATCATATCGATATGATAGCGCATAAATCGAAGACTTATCGTGTATAGTTAATTTACCCATTTTCGCAATTTTAGCCGAGTTGTATAAGGATCTCGCCCCTCGCATCAAGAGGGAAGTCCCTTAAGGGTTGCAGCGCAAAAATCAAAATCATATCGATATAATAGCACATAAATCGAAGACTTATCGTGTATAGTTAATTTACCCATTTTCGCGATTTTAAACGAGTTATATAAGGATCTAGCATTTGGCTTCAAGAGGGAAGTCCCTTAAGGGTTGCAGCGCAAAAATCAAAATCATATTGATATGATGGCGCATAAATCGAAAACCTATCGTGTATAGTTAATTTACCCATTTTCGCGATTTTAAACGAGTTGCATAAGGATCTCGCCCTTTGCATCAAGAAGGAAGTCCCTTAAGGGTTGCAGCGCAAAAATCAAAATTATCAGGAGATTATAGCGCATAATTAGCGCATAAATCCTGCGTATTTGATTTTCAAAATTAGTTGTTATTAATGGGTGGGGGGCTCGCTGACTTTTTTGCTAAACTAAAAGAGCGCAAAATTTTTTTTTATGTATTTGGTGAGCGCATAATTATATAATTTTTTTATTGAATTTGTGCAATGTGAGGGGTCCAGCTAGGCAGACTCGTCGGGTACATGTAGCGTGTTCTTCAGATATACGAATCTAGTCGTGTCTCCGCCTGTAGCAGCAATCCTTACAGTATCCTTCGCCTTTACGTCAATGGAGCCATGATTCGCTAAGTTAAGTTTTTGGTTATCGGTGCTCACACTGATAAAAAAATATAGTTGAAATTACTATAAATTCACTATAATTTATAGTATCTTGAGGCGCCAAGCATATAGAATAGTGCTCTTTACTAAAAAAAACATAGTTAATGTAATGCGAAAATATAGTTTATAAAATCATAATATTCATTTTGTGTAACCATATGGTTATGATTGTCATTACTAAAAATATTGTTAAACCAAACATAAGATTACAAAATACAGTAACTATATACTAATAGTAACCCGTATTCATAATAATAGTAATATATGTAGTAATAGTTCATACTATCATTTATGGTTAAGTAAACAATGTTCGTATGGTTCGCACAACATAATTTTAAAAAGTTAATTCAACGATACTAAAAAATTCATTTAACATTTCTTTATTGAAACGGATTGTACATTATTTATATAGTTGGAGGTACTATACAATAAATGGATTGCTATACTATATACTAATAAGGATTACATACTATATTTTATACTTATTTTGTACTATAAGAATATATACACCTTGTACATTGCATCTAATACATATAAAAAATATTAAGTTATATACAGGGTGTCCTAGACCACCCGTACACCCCTTTTCTTTCAAAAACTAAGCATTTTAGAGAAAAACGTTTTGAACAAAAATTGTATGGTTTCGAGGGGAACATAAAATACACCATTTTATGTTCCCCTCGAAACCATATGCAATAAAAAATAGAATATGCAATAAAAAATAGGGGATTCCATTTAAGAAATTAAATTTGTCCTTGACTTGACCTTAACGATGCCATCCAAGGTCAAACCAATGACACCATCTTATGTTCCCCTCAAAACCATACAATTTTTATTCAAAACGTTTTTCTCTAAAATGCTTAGTTTTTGAAAAAAGGGGTGTACGCGTGATCTAGGACACCCTGTATATAAGGGTGAGTTATTTTAATCAACGCACGCAAATATCTCGTAAAGTAAGCAAGATGGAAAGAAATGATTTATTCAAAAGTTGTAGGGTTCAGAGGGTTCCTTACTTTTTATTTTTGCAAACAATACGAATCAATTAATGTAAAGAAAACACATAATTTTCCTAAAGAAACACTTGTTGTGTAACTGCTTATTGCATATTCATTATTTGCTTAGCTTCTCACGATTGGGGGTGCTTAATTTGCGTGAGTCCCCTTGCCTCTCACGATTGGGGGTGCTTGATTAACGTGAGTCCCCTTGCCTCTCACGATTCGGGGATGAATGCAGTATGTACATGCTATGTGTTTGTGTTTGCTCAAGCGATGTGTTCAAATTGAGCACCATTTTCTGCAATGCAAGCATCTACTCTATTTTGAAAGCTATTGGCTGCTCGAAGAATTTCATCAGCATCTAAAGATTGAATTGCTTCATTTATTCTACAGATCATATTGTCCCTCGTAGTCGTGCGTTCACGGTAAACCAAGTCTTTTATTCTTCCCGACAAATAATAATCAAGGACAGTGAGGTCTGGTGATCGGGGTGGATAATTGATAGGACCGTATTTGCCTATCCACCTGTTAGGAAACATAACATTTAATGCTACACGAGCAACTCTGGATATATGTGATGGACATGCATCTTGCTGGAACCACATGTCCAGGCGCAATTGCAGAGGAAGATTTTCTAGTAAGATAGGAAGATCTGTCTCTAATAAGACGGAATATCTATCACCGTTTAGATTTTCGTCGAAGAAAATAGGACCTACGATTTGACTTCCAATAATGCCGCACCAAACATTGACTTTCCAAACGTTTTGATGATCCATTTCTCTCAACCAGTGAGGATTAACTTGTGCCCAATAACGGTAGTTCCAAGTATTGACAGACCCATCACTTTTAAATGTACATTCGTCAGAAAATAAAATTTTTAAATGAAAATCAGGTGGCTGCTGTCTTATCCAGTTGCAAAACGGAAGTCTTTGTCGGAAATCGTTATAATTCAACGCTTGGTGAACAGACATCCTATAAGGGTGAAACTTGTTTTCCCTTAAAATGAGCGAAATAGTATTACGAGTAATATTAGAATCTAGTTGGGACTTCCGCTTCCGGTGGCAAAGAAGTGTGCATCATAGGTGCTGGCGTGCGTGGTGGACTGCGTATAAAGTGAGAAAGCGGAGGGTGATTGAGCGGAGAGTGTGCTAGGGTGAGAGTGAGGGTGCAAGGAATTAAAGAACAGGGGAAAATGATGAGAAAGGAGGTGGAAGAATTGAGAAGGGAATTCGGTGAGTGGAAAAAAAGATGGTTGGAGGAAAGGGAGGAACTGAGGTGGAGTATCAAAATGCTGGAGAGGAAAATAGAGAAATTAGAAAAGCGCGGTATAGGGGAAGTAGAAGAGAGTAAGGCATTAAGACGGGAGGGAGATGAAGAGATGGGGAATAAGGTAAAGGAGATAGAGAGAAGAATGGAAAGAAGGGAAAGGGAGGAAAGAAAGAGAAATGTTCTGATTAAAGGGGTAGAGGTGAAGGAGGGGAGAAGAAGGATAGCGATAGAGGAGGTATTTGCTAGTATAGGGGTGAAAGTGAAGATAGAGGGAGTAAAAAAGATAGGGGGAGAATTGGAGGGAGGGAGGGAGATGAGTTTAGTAAGACTGAAGGATGAAGAACAAAAAAAGGAAATTTGGGATAAGAAGAAAATGTTGAGAGGCAGGAAGGAGAGAATTATGGAGGACTGGACATGGAAAGAAAGAAGAATGAGATGGAGGTTAGAGGAGATGGCTTAATAGGGGGGGACTTTAACGCGAGGACAAGAGAGAAGGGAGGGTGGACGAGCAAAGAGGAACTTAGGAAAGGGGAAAAGGGAAGGAGATCGAAGGATAGGAAAATGAATAAGGATGGAAGAAAAATGATAGACTGGATAGAGAAAAGGGGATGGACAATACCGAATGAAAGCATAAAGGGGGACGAGGAGGGAGAGTTCACATACACCGGGGGAAGGGGAGAGATGGGGGAGATAGATATAGAGAATAAAAGATATAAGGATCTATGTGAAAAGAAGAAAAGAGAGGAAAGGGATAGGATGATGAGAGAAGCAGGGGAAGCAAACACAGAGGGAAAAGTATGGGAGTTAGTAAGAAAAGAAAGGAAGGGAAAGAAAAGGGTGAATGAGGAGATAGCAATGGGAGAATGGAAGGAATATTTTATGGATCTGTTAGGGGGAGTGGAAGGAAAAGTGATAAGGGGAGGAAGGGAAAGGAGAGAGGATGGGGGAGATGCAGAGGTAGGGTTAGAATGGGAAGAAGTTAAGAGGGTGATTGGAGGGCTGAAAGGGGGGAAAGCGATAAGAATGGATGGGATACCGAACGAAGTCTGGAAGTACGGGGGGGAAGAGCTGGAAAAATGGGTGTGGGAGGCATGCGGGAGGGTATGGAAAGGAGAGGGGTGGCCAGAGGAATCGAAAGAGGGCATCATTGTACCGATAGTGAAAAAAGGGAGGGGAGTAGAAACAAAATATTATAGAGGAGTGACGCTAATGCCGTCAATTTATAAGATATACGCGGCGGAAATAGGGGAAAGATTGAAAGAAGAGATGGAGATAAAGGAGGTGCTGTCGGAGAGCCAAGCGGGGTTTAGAAAAGGAATGGGAACAGTAGACCAGATATACGCGCTAAACTACCTAATTAACAGACAGATAGGTAAGAAAGGAGAAAAAATGACGGCGGTATTTATAGATCTGAAGGCGGCATTTGATTCGGTGGACAGAGAGATTCTAATAAGCGGAATGAGGGAAAGGGGTATAAGAGAAGGATTGGTGAAAAGGATAGAAGAAATAGTAAGGGAAACAAAGAGTAGGGTGAAAGTAGGAGATAGGACGGGAGAGGAATTTTGGACAGCGAGAGGGTTAAGGCAGGGATGTCCACTGAGTCCAATGTTGTTTAACGTTATCCTGGCGGACTTAGAAAAGGACATGACAAGAGGCGGCTGGGAAGGAATACAATTAGGAGAAGAAAAGATATATACACTAGCGTACGGTGATGACGTGGTGTTAATGGCTGAAGAAGAACAAGATATGAGAGCTATGCTGAGTAGATTAGAGAGATATCTGGACAAAAAAGGCCTGGAATTGAACGCGGAAAAGACGAAAGTAATGAGATTTAGAAAGGGAGGCATCATTGTACCGATAGTGAAAAAAGGGAGGGGAGTAGAAACAAAAGATTATAGAGGAGTGACGCTAATGCCGTCAATTTATAAAATATACGCGGCGGCTTTAGGGGAGAGATTGAAAGAAGAGATGGAGACAAAGGAGGTGCTGTCGGAGAGCCAAGCGGGGTTTAGAAAAGGAATGGGAACAGTAGACCAGATATACGCGCTAAACTACCTAATTAACAGACAGATAGGTAAGAATGGAGGAAAAATGACGGCGGTATCTATAGATCTGAAGGCGGCATTTGATTCGGTGGACAGAGAGATTCTAATAAGCGGAATGAGGGAAAGGGGTATAAGAGAAGGATTGATGAAAAGGATAGAAGAAATAGTAAGGGAAACAAAGAGTAGGGTGAAAGTAGGAGATAGAACGGGAGAGGAATTTTGGACAGCGAGAGGGTTAAGGCAGGGATGTCCACTGAGTCCAATGTTATTCAATGTTATCCTGGCGGACTTAGAAGAGGACATGACAAGAGGCGGCTGGGGAGGAATACGATTAGGAGAAGAAAAGATATATACACTGGCGTACGCGAATGACGTGGTGTTAATGGCGGAAGGAGAACAAGATATGAGAGCTATGCTGAGTAGATTAGAGAGATATCTGGACAAAAAAGGCCTGGAATTGAACGCGGAAAAGACGAAAGTAATGAGATTTAGAAAGGGAGGGGAGGGAGGATAAAGAAGATAGATTGGAGATGGAAGGGAAAGAAATTACAAGAAGTGAAGCAGTTCAAATATCTGGAGTACACCATACAAAGGAATGGAGGGCAGGAGGCACACGTAAAAGAGAGAAGAAGAAGGGCGGCCATAGTGATGAGGGAAGTTTGGGGAATCGGGAAAAGGCTATGGGGAAAAGACTTGGAAAGGAGAATATGGCTGTATGACACATTGGTGTGGACGTTAATGGGGTATGAAGCAGAGATATGGGGATGGAAAGAGAGAAAAGAGGTAGAGGGCATACACGATAGGTACTTGAAATTGACAATGGGAGTAGACTGGAAAACGCCAGGGTAGGAATTTCGAAAAAAGACTAGAAGAAGGGAAGGGGGGGGGAAAATAGCTAGAAAATGTTGGTTAGAAATGAGGGAGAGATGGAAAAAAGGGAGGAGGATAGGGGCATGGGAGCAGGACAAAGAGGAGTTTCTTCAAGAAAGAGGGGTACAAGGCGAGGAGGAAGAAGAAAGGGATTATGAGGAGTTAGAAGAGAGAGATAGGAGAAAGCAGAAGGAAGAAAGGGAAAAGAAAATAGAAGAATCGAGATACAATAAGTGGTACAGAAGAGTGAGGGCATCCCAGAATATTTGAAAAAGGGATGGGCGGAAAGTAGATGGAGAAGAGTATTAAGATTTAGAATGGGAAAACGAAATAAGAGAAGGGTTATACTGGGAGAGAGAGGAGAAGAGGACATGCAGAGTGTGTGGAGGAGTGGAAGAGACTTGGGAACATGTATGGGAAGGGTGTACGGGAGAGGGGAGAGGGAGGGAGGAGAGCTGGCAGGGTGCTGTGGAAAGGATGCTGGGAGGAGATGGAGGAGGAGAGGAATGGATGAAAGAGGTAGAAAGAGCGAGAGGGGGAGAGAGCAGGGAAGGGGAAAAGGGGGAAGAAGAGGGAGAGGGGAAAGGAGGTAGTAAAAGGGGTGAACGTATGAAGGTGGGGGGAGAGAGTGAAGGGGGAGGGAAGGGAAGGAGAACAGGGGTAAGGAGGAGTATGAGAGAGAGAAAGAGAGGAGGAGAGAGAAAGAGAGTGAGAGAGAGAGAGAGAGAAAGAGAGAGGGTGGAGGTTGAAAGAAGAATGAAAGAGGAAAGATGGGCGGAAAATGATAAGGAAGAACAGCGGAAGCGGGGGCCCAGTAAAGATAAGGTTTAGTGTAAGATAGACGTAAGTAGAATGTAAGTTAGAGATAAGGCAAGTAGGAGAACAAAGCGGAGAGAGAGAGAGAGAGAGAGAATGATGGGAGGAGCGATGATAAAGCGAGGCAGGTACAAAATATAATAGGTTAAGGTAATAGGTTTAGGTGAATGTAAAGATTGAAACCCCATTGGAGAACAATAAACTTCTACATACATACATACATACATTAGAATCTAGTTCTCGGCGTCTTAAAGAATCATGAGGATTCAGTTCTGCCGATGCAAGAACTTCTGCTGCTCTTTCATCCCTAACTGGACGGCGAATCTACCTTTGTTATGTTGAGGCTGAACGACACCTTTAGTTTTGATTCGATTAGCCAAACGTGAAAAAACGTTTCGCGAATGAGGAATCCGATCAGGATACCGCTCTCGCTACAATTTTTCAGCTGCAGCGAATGTACCTTGACACTCACCCAAAATTAGCAACATATCATATGCCTCTTCATTCGAATAAGACACGGCTAGATAAACCGAAAATAATAAATATGAATTAGCCCGAATTGAATATTTTACGACTTTTTTTGAAAAAATTTTTTTGGGATGTTCTGTTAGAAGTACATAAATAGGAGGCTTTGCGTCCGTCAAAGCGTGCTGCAAAAGTAAAAGAGGAAGTTCTAGTAGCGTTCTAATTCCTGTCGCAAGTTACACAGGATAATAATGAGATACACGGAGTGACACACACGAATGACGCCACGCGAATGACAACAATGCTTTTTCAATAACTATCAATCACGCAATAAAAAATCGGTACTCTTCTTTCCTGATGGTATACGCTAAATTTAAGTCTTTGTCGAAAATAATTCAATATGTACTTGGTGAATAGACATTCTGTAAGAATGAAACTTAATGCATAAATGTGAATGCCTACAGAGATTACACAGCGCGCAATAGTTTATTCCAGGTATTTTAGACATTGTTCTTAACAAGAACACAAGAATTGCACTCATTGTAAATGGCATTAAAATTGTTCTTCAGTTTTGTAGATTAGTGCGCTATGTACTGTGCCACGCTACGCCCTAACACAAGTGTTTCTTTAAGAAAATTATGTGTTTTCTTTACATTAATTGATTCGTATTGTTTGCAAAAATAAAAAGTAAGGAATTTGAAAAATAAATACTTAACAAAATATTATGTCACAATACTGTAACTTTCAAGCCTTATAACTCGAAAAGTACTTTATGAAAAAATACTTTATTATAGTGTTTTGGAAAGCTCTCGACATAAGCTATAAGAATATGCAATAAAAAATAGGGGATTCCATTTAAGAAATTAAAGGTGTCCTTGACTTGACCTTAACGATGCCATCCAAGGTCAAACCAATGACACCATCTTATGTTCCCCTCAAAACCATACCGCCATTCTCAATAAAGTGATCTCACAATCGAAACCACGTGCGCGTGAATCTTTTATTCCTCACTTTCCGGAAATACGGCACAAGTCGTAACATATGGTCCTTCGAGCCGGATTGAGCGAGGAATCGAGCAGCCAAGATTCAAGAAGACATAGAAGCGCCGTATATACGTGAGCCTAGCCATTGCCCAGTGCGCGGCAACGACAAGCCCGGCCATTATTCAGCACGAGGCATTTAGCGTTCGGCATCGATTAGCGCAACAGGTACGAGATCACGATTATACAGACTAGCAGCCTCTTTCGTATTTGAAACGAGGTATCGCTAGACTGCCCGTGCCCCGTTCCAAGAAGACGCACGGCCTCTCTCTCTCGCTCTCAAGCGAGACATCGCCAGTTACGGCGTGCTGGAGGAAGACGCACCGCCTCTCTCTCTCGCTCTCAAGCGAGACTTCGCCAGTTACGGCGTGCCGGAGGAAGACGCACGGCCTCTCTTTCTCGCTCTCAAGCGACACATCGCCAGTTACGGCGTGCCGGAGGAAGACGCACCGCCTCTCTCTCTCGCTCTCAAGCGAGACATCGCCAGTTACGGCGTGCCGGAGGAAGACGCACGGCCTCTCTCTCTCGCTCTCAAGCGAGACATCGCCAGTTACGGCGTGCCGGAGGAAGACGCACGGCCTCTCTCTCTCGCTCTCAAGCGAGACATTGCCAGTCTCGGCGTGCCAGAGAAAGACGCACGGCCTCTTTCTTTCGCTCTCAAGCGAGACATCGCTAGTCTCGGCGTGCCAGAAGAAGACGCACAGCCCCTCTCTCTCTCTCTCGCTCTCGCGTGAGAGACATCGCCGATCCCGACGAGCCAAAGCGGGGCATGGCCTGTCTCTCTCACCCCTACACGAGACGAATATTGGACTGCGCACCTCAGACCACTTCCAGCCTCAACTGTGACAAGGAAGTTTGAAACAAGGAGGAATTTGGATCGTCCCCAACAGCACCGCATAGATGAGTACAAAATCAAATAAGTACAAAATTAGAATTAAGTATAATCGCGCTCCTGTCGGCAAATGTAGTCGCGTCCGTGTCGATAAATATAATTCGTTTTTCCGTCGATAAATATAAGTGCGTTTATGTCGATAAGTACGATTCGCTCTCCTGTCAATAAATACAAACATTGATCCCTCCTTAATGGGTACAAATTAATAGTTTAAGATTACTAACGCGCATCTTAAACCTCGGGTCAGCGCTTTCAGAACCAAAAGAGAACTGTTTGCAATTCAAACCTAGTATTACAACCCAAATTAAAATATAACGTTATTACACGTTACAGTCTTTTTTGGCCATAAGGATCAGATTGCCGGATTATTGTACAGACATGGCTGAATTACCCAATTTAATTAAACAAAGAGGCAGGGTTAAGTCAAAACTCACTGCTTTTGGAAGCTATCTCACTGCGACTGAAACGGACCCGCGTAAAAGGGCGGAATTAACCAGCCGAATAGAGAAGGCTGAAGTGTTGTGGATTGAATTTGACACCATTCAAAATAAAATCGAGGATTTAGATGAATCGGAGGAACAATTAGCGCACAGAGCTAGCTTTAAGGATTCATATCATGGTATAATTAGTAAAGCGCGAAATATCGCAGCAGGAAACCAAGCGGCTCAAACAATTAATGTGCAGCCCGGAATTCTGCCTGTCGATCCATTCACGGTAAGACCTAGCGTAAAATTGCCTAACATTGAGCTTCCTAAGTTTGACGGAAATTATGAGCGGTGGATACCGTTTCGCGATTAATTCGAGTCCCTTATCGCATCTAACGCAGTGTTGTCTCCAGTGCAGAAACTGCACTATCTTAGAAGCACGTTAAGCGGTGAAGCCGCAAAGGTAATAATGGCTTTAGAAATTACTAATGACAATTATGAAATAGCATGGCGGTTGTTAAAGCAAAGATACGAAAACAAAAGGCTCATAGTTCAATATCTCATTCAAACTCTAATCGACATGCCGATTATCAATAAAGAGTCATATACTGATCTTAGAAATTTAACGGATTCTGTATCGCAGTGCACACAATCATTAAGCAAACTAGGCCAACCCGTAGGAAACTGGGGTACATTATTATTAGGTGTACAACTTTGCTTCCGCCGTTTTCCTATAGATGGCTTTAGCGGTAAGTAGTGGTCGAAATAAATAGATCATAGACGTCATGCAATAAACTTGGGCATCTGTCAACATAACCCCATAGAAACATTAGTCGATTTGTTGCTCCATCATAAAGTTATGCTTGATTGAAAATGTCAGTTTACGAGCCAAATTCTCGTCATTTGCGGGAGGTTTTAATTTTCTGCTTCAATATGAAGAAATCTGCGGCTGAGGCTCATCGAATGCTCTCAAATACTTATGGTGAGGCCGCTATTAGTGAAAGAACGTGTCGTGAGCGGTTTCAATGCTTCAAGAACGGTGATTTTCACGTCGAAGACTGGCATAGCGGTGGAAGAGAGAAGGTTTTCGAAGATGCAAAATTGGAGGCATTACTTAATGAAGACTCGAGTCAAAGTCAAGAAGAATTGGCACGATCATTGGGAGTGACTCAACAAGCAATTTCAAAACGCCTCAAAGACATGGGAATGATTCAGAAGCAAGGAAATTGGGTGCCGTACGAGTTGAAACAGAGAGATCAATGGCACACGGCCTGGTTGACCAGCACTTCCGGTCTAATGAAGAAGTATGAAATTGGATCGATTCGTGGATCGCTTCAAAAGATGACCAGTTTTTTCAACGCGGGATTCGTACGCTGCCCGAAAGATGGGAGAAAGTAGTGGCCAGCGATGGACAATACTTTGAATCATAAATGTATAACCAGTTTTTTTACAATAAAGCTTCGAATTTCGGAAAAAAAACGGCGGAAGCAAAGTTGTACACCTAATAATCAATATTATTTTGCCTAAGATCGATAAGGGATCTCGAAGGGAGTGGGAATTAAAAAGGTCTAGCATGGAAGAATTCCCTACTCTAACAGAATTTTTAGAATTTCTTACCAGTTGCAGTGCCTTTCTGGAATCAGTGAGTCGTGCCAACCGCAATCCTCAATTTTCCTCTGCGAGCAATGATAATCGAAGCAATAGTAGATTGCATAACCATGCAAGAAATACAGCTCAAGCATACGTTACAGCGAATGCGTTGTCTTGTTCAATATGTTCGGAGAATCATAAGACACACGAATGTAGTATATTGCGTGGAATGTCGCCAGCGGACAGAAATTCGGAAATTAAAAGGAAGCGTTTATGTATTAAGTGCCTTAAGACATTTCACGGTAGAAATTGTAAGGCTCCCAGTTGTAAACAATGTAAAGGTTATCATAATACGCTATTACATATTCCGAGTTCGGAAGATTCACAAGTATCAAATGTTAAGGACATAAGGTCTAAGCAAGAAAGTAAGTTAATGTCCGCGGTTGCCAATCACGCGCAGGATCAGCCTTCTGTTGGTCTTATTTTAAGCTCACCCTCCGTAGCAGTTAATAATTGCAGCACGCAAAAACTACCTCAGGTGTTACTCTCCACAGCTGTTATATTGGTGCGCGATGATTACGGTGCCCTACGCGAATGTCGCGCCCTTCTTGACAGCGGGTCGCAATCCAATTTCATTACTAAAAGTTGCAGTAAATTATTAGGTATAAAACCGGAAACTATTAACACGACTGTTTTAGGCATCAGTAGCTCATCCATAAACGCAGCGCAGCAAATAACCACCACAATAAAATCGCGAACAAGCACTTTCCAGGGTAAACTGCCCTTCATGATCATCCGCAAAATCACTGAGAGCTTGCCAACTGTAGAATTAGATAAAGGAAATCTACAAATTCCTTATGATATTCAGTTGGCTGATCCTCAGTATCATATCCCAGCAGAGATAGATATCTTATTAGGCGCGTCTATCTTTTGGGAGTTGCCAAATTCGGCCACCAGGACAAACGCTCATATTGCAGGAGACCCTACTTGGATGGATCATAGCTGGGCAAACCCAATCAAATGAAACTTCATTGATTTATAGAACGCATTGTGGTGTTTTAGCAAACTTGAAGCTTAGCAATCAACTAGAAAAATTTTGGAAAATGGAAGAAATAACTCACGAATCACAGTGTTCCAAGGAAGAAAACAAATGCGAAGCGCATTTTGTTTCCACTTTTAACAGAAATCATGAAGGACGCTTCATCGTGGAATTGCCGATTAAAGGCGATATAGAACAGTTGGGCGAATCTTACCATATTACAGAAAGACGATTCAAAACTCTAGAGCGAAAATTAGAGAAACAGAACGATCTGAAGCATCAATATCACAGTTTCATGCGTGAGTATTTGGATTTGAATCATATGCAAGAGGTATCATTTGACGAAAGGGATCACAAGCCTTCATACTACATACCGCATCACTCGGTCATAAAAGAAGACAGCATCACCACGAAGGTAAGAGTTGTCTTCGACGCATCTTGCAAAAAACCTCGGCGGGAAAATCTCTAAACGACATGCTCATGGTTGGGCCAACTCTACAAGATGATCTCTTCGATATTATATTACGCTTGCGACAGCATAAATATGCAATGTCAGCTGACGTCTCCAAAATGTACCGTCAAATTAATGTAGCTAAAAACCACCTCAATTTACAGCGCATACTCTGGCGATGGCATCGGGATGAGCCTATCAGAAAATTCCAACTTAACACAGTTACCTATGGAATGGCAAGCTCCTCATTTTTAGCCATAAGATGCATGCAAGAAGTAGCCCGACAGATGAGCCAAGAATATCCCGAAGCTGCGGAAGTGATATCCAAAGACTTTTACGTCGATGATTTATTAACTGGAGCCGACACTGTGGATAATTTACTGCGAATTAAGCAAGATATTATAAGTATACTCACCAGCGCAAGATTCGAGCTCAGAAAATGGAGATCCAATGGCCCAGGTCTCGGCGATCACCTCAGCAATAAATCTATAGTCATGCTTGGTGAAGCGACCAAAATTTTGTGTTTGTGGTGGAACACAGCTACAGATACGTTTCATTATAAATTGAAGTTAGAAATACAACAAAAAATAACAAAGCGATGCATATTAGCCAATATTGCGCAGATTTACGACCCTCTAGGATGGCTGGGTCCAGTAATAGTCAAGGCAAAAATAATTATGCAGCGACTATGGCAGTCAAAATGTGACTTGGACGAAACCGTAAACAATGAGATGCGCGTTATGTGGACACAATGGAGATCCAAAATCAACTGTATAGAATCAATCCATATTCCTCGTAAGGCATTAGGTGACAACACGATTAAAGTGGAATTACATGGGTTTTGCGACGCATCGGAGGACGCCTATGGTGCCTGTTTATACTTGCGCAGCATCTCATCCGATTTCAGATATACGGTTAATATACTATGTGCCAAATCGCGCGTAGCGCCCATGAAGAAGATTTCATTACCCAAACTAGAGTTGTGTGGCGCCGTCCTATTAGCTAATCTAGGTGACAAGGCTATGAAAGCGCTGAGTATCCGTGTACAAGGAGCACACTATTGGAGCGACTCCACGATAGCCTTAGCATGGATCAGCCATGAATCGAATAAATGGAATACCTTTGTTGCTAACAGAGTATCGGAGATACACCGCATCGCGAACCAAGTACAGTGGCATCACGTGAAATCGCAGGACAACCCAGCTGACCCATTATCAAGAGGAATTAATCCTGAAAAATTAGAAACGATGCAGATATGGTGGAAAGGGCCTGCATTTTTGCACCATAACACGGCAATGCTGCCGTATGAATGTAAAAACGCAACGGAGGAGTTGCCGGAAGCTCGTGTATCGAAATCATTGGCATATCATGCAGTCAGTCAAGGTTCCACCATTATTGAAAGATTCTCGTCATTTACAAGACTAAAAAGAGCCATAGCATATTGTCTGCGCTTTAAGAACAATACATCAAAAGAAATGATAAAAACTAATGGACCTTTAACAGTCAACGAAATAAATAAAGCGACAACCGCAATCATCAAACTTTGCCAAGCAAGCGAATTCCCACAAAAATTATATAATCTTCGTAAGCAATCACAATTAGATTCTAAAAGTAAACTGCTAACCTTACATCCATTTTTAGACTCAGACGGTCTCATTCGCATGGGGGGAAGGCTACACCGCGCACCAATAGAATATGCTCAAAAGCACCCAATCATATTAGCGAGCAAGAGTCATCTCACGAATTTAATAATAAAAGACATTCACTACAAAAATTTGCACGCAGGGCCCCAAGCAGTACTAGCAGCCATGCGCGAAAATTACTGGCCACTAAATGGTAGAAATACGATACGTCGTACCTTGAGAAATTGCATTGTTTGTTTTCGCACGAAACCCGTAACCGCAAGTCAATTAATGGGAAGTTTACCATCGATACGTGTAACACCTGCCAGGCCATTTCTTAATACTGGCGTAGAATACGCCGGTCCGTTTAGCGTAAAAATTTCGCGAAACAAAACCGGCAAAGCATATCTGTCATTGTTTGTATGTTTGGCCACAAAGGCAATACATCTTGAACTAGTATCGGATTTAAGTACTGCATCATTCCTTAACGCGATAAAACGATTTATTGCTCGCAGAGGAAAGTGTTCCACTCTGTACTCCGACAACGGCACCACCTTTACTGGAGCCAACAATCAATTGTCGGAACTGAAAAATCAGCTACTTAAAGAATCCACGCAAACCCAAATACGCGATTTCCTACTTGAACAGTTCATTGACTGGAAATTTATCCCTCCTTACGCACCGCACATGGGAGGAGTGTGGGAAGCCTCTGTGAAACTAGCAAAAAATCATATGCGAAAAGTAATAGGTACAACTATACTAACTTTCGAGGAATTATACACGGTCCTAACGCAAATAGAAGCATGTTTAAATTCAAGACCCCTTACACCTATTTCTAATAATCCTACCGATCTACAAGCGCTGACCCCCGGTCACTTTCTTATAGGCGAGGCACTTAACGCGATCCCGGAGTATGACATGAGTAAAGTTCCTACAAATCGTTTAACAAGACTTCATTTGCTTACTCAAATAAAGCAGAATTTCTGGACTCGATGGTCCAAAGAATATGTAGCTCAGCTCCAGCAACGCGTTAAGTGGAAATTGTCAAAGAAAACGAATATTAAGGAAGACACAATGGTGCTCATTAAAAATGAGAACACCCCCCCGATGTCATGGCCTTTGGGTAGAATAATAAATATACATCCCGGCCCGGACAATCTCACTAGAGTTGTCACAATACGAACAAGTAGAGGCATAACGAAGCGAGCGTTATCAAAAATATGTATCTTGCCAGTCGAAGAAAATGAGATATCTTAAAACCAAATGCTAAACCAAAGACTGATCGTTAGTTTCTAAGTTGCAATGTGTTATTATAGGCTTAAAACCAAGGAAATTTTATTTAATATCTCTATTTATTCTCACATTGTTAGTCAAATAATTATAAGACTTGCGATCGTTTGTATGACAAGAACACCATAGGATTAAGATTAAAATTACATTAGATTTTAAGACCAAATGTACAAGAATTATTACGCTTTCGCATTGTAAAAAATGTTATCTAACCGACATATAAGATCTGCATTTAATGCATTATAACATTTACTTGTAAACCCCGTTTCCAAGGGGGGCAGGATGTTGGATTTCCCGCTCTCATTTGCGCCTGCGTTTAGCCCTATCACGCGAGGCTACCATATATTGTTCTCAAGTTAGCAGCAATGCAAGTTTTTATGTTGGTAACCCTGAAAGTGCCGGTTCCCGGCCATTCTCAATAAAGTGATCTCACAATCGAAACCACGTGCGCGTGAATCTTTTAATGAAATTTATCTGAAATATGTATAGCATACGCTTGATAATGAATATCAAAATACTTTGTAAACAAATATTTTACATTAGCAGTAAAATCAGATGGTACATATACTCTGTCACATACATTTATGGTGGTTTTAAAAATGTCCATAATTTCCACGAATATAGGGCATTCATCATCGTCAATACCTAATAAAACGATCGAGCCTCTTGTAAGCGTTACATTTCCAAAGAAAACATTTTTCAATACGATTCTGTTAGTGCAGTTATTTAATAATATATTGTTAATAATATTTAATGAATTATCTTCTGTGTATGTGATATATGATGCACCACCACATTGTAATGTGATGAAGAATGTGCTTAACATTAATTGATGCTTAACAGCAATACTGTTACGTCCGGCGGACTCCACGATTCTTTTCTTTCATCGTAAATAGAGATTAGCGGTATCTTAAGAGCGCATTACGCCTTGAAATAAACAAATGGAAACTGAAAGGCGAGACAAACTTTTCGGAAACAAAAATTGAGAGGATATATAATACAAACAGGAAACTAGAGCATATCTGATCTAAGAAATAAGCAAAGCTTGGATGACAAATTCTCTTACTAATCTAAATTATGGTTGACAGCTCTCGTAATAAACAATTTCGGTACCAAGAATCTAAATAAAAACCGAAACGGACATTAAAAATGATATCATATGTGCTCGCCTGACAGATCTCCGTTACACGATATCTACCTAAGATAAAACTTAAGTAGATAAGAAAAGGAATAACTCTCACTCAAATTGCAACAACTCTCCATTGGGCGAAAGCTAATTCTATAAACAAAAGCCTTCACCAATACCTAAGGTTCTAACACCTATGCTAAAGGGCAACGCCTCCCAGCAACATCGGAGGGCGTGAATAAAAAATTCAATTCGCGAAAAATATTAACGAAACCAATGGAGAGGAAAAGCATAGGGCTTAATATACTCCGAACCTTTTGTCGCGGCTCATTTCATCATTCAGTATTTCTTCATTCAGTTTTCAGTATTCAGATTCAGTTTCAAGTCAGTTTCAGTTCAGTTCAGTTCATTAGACAGTTCGGATCTTTACATTTACAGTTCCGTTTAATTACAGTATATTACAGTTTCAGTTCATTAGTCAGTCAGTTAGTTCACACTTATTACAATTATAATTACTTCGACTTCAATCCTTAAAATTTTATACGAACTCTAAGTGTTTCTAACCGCGTTGTTTGGTGCAAAAATTTAGACACTTAGTGCAAATCTAGAAGATCTTGTGCCAAGCGACTGCAGCGACGATTGCGAGCCCGCATTCCAATCACCCAAGTCGAGTCGATTCATCGAAACTCCTCTCGCCCGTAGGAGCCTTCCATTATCTAATTTTTTGTTGTTACCAACGCACTCGATAAGTAGTAAGTGTTTTGAATGTTCTTAACTCTACTTCCTTTTTCTTTTGCATTTGTACATTTGAAATAATTCTTGGATTATTAATTATAATAAATCAATTAATAACTTCAATCATTTACTTTCAATCTTAACTAACTTCCCTATTCGGGCTTCTCTTCTTTAGTTCTTTTAACCCCTTCTCTGAAATATTACCTTGGATCTCCTCTTTCTTTATATTACCTGTCATCAAGGGTCACCTGTATTTAACAGAGCGACTCGTGACATCCTTCCGTCGCCAAGGGTCACCTGTACTTTACAGCGCGACTCGCGGTTTCCTATCTAATGTTAAGAATAATTAGAGGCGAACCAGGGGGTAAGAGGGAAGTAGAGAATATAGATTTTGAAATATTAGACGGCACTGAAGGATGCAATATAGCAGATAAATTTAATTTATATTATATACAAAGTATTAATAGTATAGTAAAATCTATAAATGGGAGTAAAACTGGGAATGCATGTAAAAGAATTATTTATGTTATTGAAAACGAGGGAATTATGGAAAATTTTGAAATGATTAGTATAGAGCATTTACAGGAAATTGTTATGGGACTACCGAAAAAGAAAGGTACAGAGGAGGGAATAACTAGCGATATATTAAAGGCAGTATTTTAAAGTGCGATATATTAAAGGCAGTATTTTAAAGTGCGATATATTAAAGGCAGTATTTTAAAGTGCGATATATTAAAGGCAGTATTTTAAAGTGCGATATATTAAAGGCAGTATTTTAAAGTGCGATATATTAAAGGCAGTATTTTAAAGTGCGATATATTAAAGGCAGTATTTTAAAGTGCGATATATTAAAGGCAGTATTTTAAAGTGTTAGAATTAGTAGTTAAAAAGCAAATTGAAACGTATTTGGAAGATAATTGTATTATAACGGAACATCAGTCGGGCTTTAGAAAACAGTATTCGTGTGAAACAGCGATTCAATCAGTCATTGATGAATGGAAATTGATAGTTAGTGAGGCAAAAATGGTAGGGGTAATTTTCATGGATCTTAAGCGAGCCTTTGAAACAATAGATAGAGAAAGATTATTAGAGAAATTATATCAATATGGAATTAGGGGAATGGTTATAGAATGGTTAAGATCATATTTAAAGGATAGAACACAGCAGGTTCAATTTAATAATAAATGGTCTAAATTAATGACCACAGAATATGGAGTACCACAAGGATCTGTATTAGGACCTTTATTATTTATAGTATATATTGTAATGTTACGTCCGGCGGACTTCACGATTCTTTTCTTTCATCGTAAATAGAGATTAGCGGTATTTTAAGAGCGCATTACGCCTTGAAATAAACAAATGGAAACTGAAAGGCGAGACAAACTTTTCGGAAACAAAAATTGAGAGGATATATGATACAAACAGGAAACTAGAGCATATCTGATCTAAGAAATAAGCAAATTAATCAACCACTAAAAGGTTGGGTGACAAATTCTCTTACTAATCTAAATTATGGTTGACAGCTCTCGTAATAAACAATTTCGGTACCAAGAATCTAAATGAAAACCGAAACGGACATTAAAAATGATATCATATGTGCTCGCCGACAGATCTCTGTTACACGATATCTACCTAAGATAAAACTTAAGTAGATAAGAAAAGGCATAACTCTCACTCAAATTGCAACAACTCTCCATTGGGCGAAAGCTAATTCTATAAACAAAAGCCTTCACCAATACCTAAGGTTCTAACACCTCCTATGCTAAACGGCAACGCCCCCAGCAACATCGGAGGGCGTGAATAAAAAATTCAAGTCGCGAAAAATATTAACGAAACCAATGGAGAGGAGAAGCAAAGGGCTTAATATACTCCGAATCTTTCCTCGCGGCTCATTCATCATTCAGTATTTCTTCATTCAGTTTTCAGTATTCAGATTCAGTTTCAATTCAGTTTCAATTCATCTTCGGCTCTCGATTCGAACGGTCGCACCGAGTCTGCCTACAGTCCGCGCTGATTATTTAAGTCTTTAAAAGTTTATCGATTCTCGCAAGTTCTCTCTGCGATTGTGGTAGTGCAAGGAGTTTCACGCTATTGAAATTTTACAAAATTCGTGCGGGCAAGTGACAAGTGGTGGCCCTTGAGGGGTCGAACAAACACCGCCGGAACCGAGCGATCTCCGAGCCACTCCTTCCGCACAGCCGAGTCCAGAGATAGATCTTAGCTCGCTTATCCAGCGAAATTTTTAAAGTCATCACCTTCGCACACAACAAATAGTAAGTCTACCAAAGAATTTCATTCTTTCTCTTACTTAATTTTTTTTCTTCCTCTTAAAAGAAACAGTTTGTTATTAAATTCAAATTTTTAAGTAATATCCAAGCACAAACATTTATTAGTATTATTATTAAATTAAATCCTGGTTATTAAATATTTTACATTTCCTCTTCTTTGAACCTTCTCCCTTGCGAGTCCGTAAGCGTGATTAGCCAGGATCTTGAACACTGTCAAGATTGGCATTCATCCTTATTGTTAGACTCGTGCAATCCTCTCTCCCTTGCGAGTCCGTAAGCTTGATTAGCCAGGATCTTGAACACTGTCAAGATTGGCATCCAACCCTCACACATCTATTGTAAACAATTTTTCTAAAACATATTATTGTAAATTACCAACCGGAGTTTAAATTTTAGTTTCCCCGTTTAATTCCGTCCTCCGTATTCATTGTAACACCCGCGAAAACTCAGATTTCATCCACACACACACATTTACACGCAAACATATTAGATCCTAAGTAAGTTATGTCACAATAACAGAATATAAAAATGAATCAGATGATTCATTATTAAATTGTATCTTCAAAAATTATTCGTTTTATTTCTTTGAATAAATGTAAAGTGTAACATTAGATGATGTTTAGGTTTCAAAGTTTCTCCAAATAAGTCAATATATAGCATATGATGCTCATTAATTAAATTTTTTAGTAGATCTGCTGTCCATTCAGTAACACTATATTGAAGTGTTATAGAAAGAATTTTTTTGTAACAATATAAAAAGTTCCCAGTGTCTGTTATGAAAATCAGTTATGAGATCACCAAATATTAAACCAGCATTT